AAATTTTCATCCATTCTTAAGGTTTCCTGATCACCGATGGGCCATGTAGTCTTCTCAGAACCTAAAGAACAACTTAAGTCCAAGGGAAATTCTTCTAGTGAATTCTTAGTCTCATTAACTGGAAGATGATCAACACATCCATATAATGAATTAGCTGCCCACATATCACCTCTTAATAAGTAATCTTCATTAAATGCTAACTGGCTCAGTGATTCATATGGTAAGTCACACCAAATGACACTGTTTGGATTTGTTCTCCAGTCCAAGATATTAGCATTTTGATCTTTTTGGCAGAAATTTATTACTGGGTTTTCTGAGTCAGTCCACAAGACAGCATCAGCTGAGGGAAATGTATTTTGACTCAACATATAATAAACTGGTTGAAATTTTCTAGAGTTTTCAGAGAAATGTTTCGCATCATTATTTATCTCTTCAAAAGCCTGTTGGTCGTTTGATTTATTAAGAATTTTAGTATTTAATGTGGGCAAGTTTAATGTGGTTGATTTTTCATGTAGTTTTGCCTCAGAATCATGATGTGGTGTTAAGCTCTTAACCAAAGAATTCTGTAAGGCCTGGTGTGCACTTGTAATACACTGAAGTACACTATTCTCAGAAAGAGAATGGTGTTTTTCAGTTAGCTGGCTTTTCTTTGTTGAATTGCAATGGTGATTATCAACCCAAGCATCACATGACAGTATATTTTCATATTCTGTTTTAGGTAAAGATACGACTTGTTTTATGAACTCGGAAGTTTCCTGCTTTTCAACATGGATTGCTTGGCTCTCAGGAATCACACACGAAGTAACAAGGACTTCGCTCAGTGATACTTGCTTATTTCCATTCAAGCTATTTATTATGCTTAAAGCTGCTGGTTTTGCTTCATCTGGTTTGCAATCAGTTCTACCACTATTTGATATCAAGTTAAATATTCCAGAGAGTAAGCCTGGGGAACTATTCCTACGACTGCAGTCATTCTTTTTAAAATTTAAATCTTGATCAGATAAGCTTTCAGGAGAAGAAAACCTAAACAAGCCAGAAAATAGGCTTCCTTGGGTTCTTTTCTTGGAAGATTTAACTTCAACTTTATCATCACTGATTTCATTAATCAAAGTAGATTTTGAAATGGTAGACGCAAACTCCAGTGAAGAGTCTAATACTGTTGAAGGTGATGCTTGTGAAAGATTCTTAATTTCTCCAGAAATATCTGAAGTTGTGTGTTCTCCGGGCACAACACCAAGAATGGCTATGGAATCTCTCTGACAACTCCTTACTGTTGTGTCCTCACTTGGATTTAATTCCTCTCCACTCTCAAATTTCCCAAGATCATTATTAACATTCGGAACTGAGTGAGATTTTACAAAATTAAGTTTAGTGTCTTCAGGAAAATTTACTAGGCTATTCTTACCAAGTTCTTCAGTATTAGCAAATTTCTCTAGGTCATTTTGAATATGTGGAACTGAATTGGATTTTATTGGCTTTTGCTTGACATCTTCTTGGCAGTTTCTCTGGGTCTCTTCAACAGTGTTTACTGCTGAGTCATTAAAATTCTGGTCATTGACAGAGATATGGTTGCCAGCGAAAGGAAATTTAAACAGAGGGGAAATGTTTCCTTTCTCTCTTAAATCCTGTTGCTTTTCAGAATGACCAAGAACTCTGAAAAATGGAATATGTAGTTTACTACTGAGTGAAAAGGAATGTCCATCTTTCTTAGAGCTTCCTTCCAATGCATCATCATCTAACTGGTGATTTTTCATGGATTGTGAGAAAGTTTCCTTTGACGAAGTCTCAGGGGAAGTGATCAAAAACTGGCTAAAGGATTTTCTGAGTGGCTCAAGGAAATCATCATCACCAGTAACTTTGTCTTCTTTTGAAGATGACTCTTTATTTGCAGGTCCACTGCCGGTCACACAAGGATGTCTTGTAGTATCTTTGGCACATATCTTTGATTGATCTGGTAACAGAGATTCATCACTACAGGGTTTTCCTTCTAATAGACTCTCAATATTATCTTTCTTATTTGCAGAACTAGCTAAGCATGGAGGTTCACTGGGCCCTTGGGAATACAATAAATCCTCATCCATGGGCATTTGAGAGCAGCCTATAGTTCCCCCCTCAACACTCTTATCTAAAGTGATGGTGCCATTACTGTGATCGCCAACGGTGTCTTGCCTTTGATTTGACTTGGAATCACCTGCCACAAAGCTTTCCTTTCCCAGTAGTTTGTTCTGGTCATCTTTTTTGGTTCCTTCCTTCTCTGAAAAGATCTTTAGTGGATTCAGCTTGTTGAAAACAGATTTTATAACAGAATTCTGATTCTGTGGAAGTGAATCCCGTTCAATACTTTCTGTTATATCTTTAAAGCTTAAACTACCACTCTTGTTGCCTGTATGCTCATTTTCAGAGGTTTTTCCAGGTGTGTCAATTCCCTTATTTTCAACTATTTGAGAAGATGGCAATGATTGCATGGTAAGATCCTTCTCCAGTACCGCTTTCTCTCCAGGCTGCGATTCCAAGTCAGCCATATCCATTTCATGAGCAGTTTCTATTTTCTCTGGAACTATATTAACCAACTTTTCCATAGAGGTTGTTAGATGCTTTGTGCCTGAGCTCACCTTTTCTGTGAGTGAACTGAATAAAGAACCAACAGCACATTTCATTCCATCCAGTTCAGGGAACGAGATGGTGGAGTCCTTGTTGCTCTTGACAGTGCTTACTGGTGGTATTTTATCCTCAAGCATTTTCTCTTCTGCATTATTAACAGTACTGCTGTGTTTCTGTGTTTTCTTAGTTTTGGAAAGGGAACCAAATTTACTAATTTCTTCTTCCTTCTCTGCTAAATACTCTGACACGGTTTCTACTAAACACTGAAGTTCATCCATTGCATCAATATAATCTTCCTTGGGTTCTTCAACAGAGGAAGGGGTCATGTTTTCCACAGAGCCTCTGGACATACTTTCAAGTATGTCTGCATCACAATTCACCCTTTGTAATGGGAATGTGGTATTTCCCCTGTAAGATTCTTCAGAAGAGTCTGAAATAGGATGGATAGTGGATGGAGGCCACGTTGGTGACAGTGAGCCATCTGGCTTATCAGAAAGGGGGGAATCCAGAAGTTCCTCTGAAGTGCTGCTAGTAGAATCTTCAAGAATATCTAATGGAGTAAAATGAGTGGCATGCTGGTTCAAGCTAAATGACTTTTCACAGTTCTCAAAATAATCAGGAAGATCATGATCAAAACTTTCCAACTCTGCAGTCCACATGTCCTTCTTAACCAAAAATCCATTTTTGTAAGGATGCAAAAAGGGGTGATTTTTTCCCTTCATTTTAATGTGGCAAAGGTTACCATCTTCAGAATTTGGAGAAGTCCTTTTTGAGTTTGTTCTAGATCTATCATCATATTGCTTGCTTTCCCAGTCATCAGACTGACTGCATAAAGTTTTCTTCTTCCTTCTCCTATCAATTGTATCATACTTCTGAGGATATCTGGAGAAAATAGATGTCTGAAGTTTATGGTCCAAATTAGTGGAGCATTCTGTTTGTTGGCTCTGGGATCGTGTCTCCTCCCAATTTGTGTACTTTGGTTGATGCTGGTGGTAAAATTCATCACTTCTTGAAAGAATTCTGGTTTCTTCTACTTCTGCTTTCATTGAGTTCATAATGCTATTTTCTAGAAACTCTTGTGATACTTTCCCTTCTACCTCTTCATATATACCTTCTTGTTCTTCACAGTCAACATCAGAAAAAGATGAAATCATCCTAATTTTATCATTTTTAGCCTGAGAGTCTTGTCTGATATAAGGAGATAAAATGGTAGGAACAGTAAGGAAAGAAAGGAAAAGAAAGAAACAAGTTAAAAGATTCAGGGCATGGCCAATGAGAAGAAAAGAGTAGTAAAACTACTTAGGGGTGTTGTAGTTTTTGTCATTACTAAAAATATGATAAAGATGTCTACTTGTAGGGAGCTCTGGTGGCCTAGTGGCAAGAAGCTACACTGCAATCCCAGAGGTACATGGTTCAAATCCACCAGATGCTCTGCTGCATGCAGAAGGAGGGGCAATCTCCTCCTGTACCAGTCAGATCTGATCTGATGGCACACAGACAAAATATAATAAAATAAAATTTAAAAAAAAGAAATGTCTACTTGCTTAAATCAATAGTATTATCAATCTAGTCAAATTTTTTTCCCTACATCTGAAAAAAATAGGAGCAGTAACAATTTTTAAATGCTTTCCTTGCTGTCATCTGAGGAAAGAGAAAAAAGCAAAAATGGAGATACATATTTTATATCTTTTTACCCTTAAATATGTAACAATAGTCTGGAAGCATACATAATAAACAAACAATAGTAGGAAAGGAAGTAGTATTCTTAGAAAGAATGGACTGTTGAAAAATAATGGGCTTCAGTGGGAGATCCTTTTCTGAAATTAACTGTACCTTTAAAATTTTTGAATCATATAAATAATTCACACAATTAAAAACTAATAAAATTAAAGCAAGGTTTATTGAGATCATATTGGTTTTCTTATAAGGGTCTCTCAGAGAAATATTTCAGACAGGAACGGCTGCTCAAACATTTACTATCTGTGATTTTTAAGGGGGAGGGGTTGGCAGGGAGGAAAGTGTGCAATGAATAAATGGAAATCCAAAGTCTCTGAAAACTTTCATTTAAAAAAAAGGGGGGGGGACCTTTTGGTGAAGGGCTATCAAAACTCCTGGGTTGGGTGGGTTTAGGGCATACTAGGTTCTTTTCAGCCTTATACTTCAGGTATATATGATATTACCACTGAAAATCAATGATCACGGAAAGAAAGAACCCCACGGAAATATTAAAGTACAAATGTGTGAAAGTGAAGAAAAGACTTAGAATTACTCCTCTATATAGAATAAGAATAGCTTGGTCCATCATAATATTATATTCCACTACTCTAAAGAATGCCAGCTGTCAATTTCAGTGGAACTTGCATATTAGGAAGAGAAAATGTTTTGTTCCCAATACCCACCTGAGGGCTCGACGCTCTGGATAATCGAGGTCATAACTTTGCATAGAATCATTGCAAGAGTCTCGAGAACTGCCCTGAAGTAGCAGCTGCTGTTGCAAATGCACTGGCACAGGGAACTGATGCACAGAAGCATTGGGCTGGGAGGTCGTGTGGTAAGGAGGTGGGATACTATTGCTGGTCTCGCTGCGATAGTCACTATCTCTGTCATCCACAGCGCTATCAGGGTCTTCAAAAGCTGTCGAAGAAGCACAGTTAGACAAAACACTCCATCTTTATTCGGTTCTTCAGAATTTGTCTGCATCTAACTTAGGAAGCTACATGTCTGGACCTTGAGAAAAAGAGCAGGCTGACAGTAAGCCCAGTGACCTCAGTGCCACTGTCTCAATTAATACCCAGGAGTCTCTCTCTTCGGCAAATGTGATAAGACGTTTGAGTTCATTTTAGTGCTGATTCCTAGAAGAGCTCCTAGTTGCATTTCCCCAGTGCAAGGATTCTCAGAAATTCTACTGCTATGATTCTTTTAAAAAAATTGTTTTTAGATGTCATAAACAGATTCTGGTCCTCTAATATTTCAAAAGCTGAGGGTGGGGTAAGGGGAAAGAAATGGCTTTCCCTATCTCAGAGAAGAGAAATCTTTGTGTAAAGCTGGTACAGTGTTTCCAGGCTTTGAAATACATGGGCTGAAATAAATAAATAAAATACATAGGATGAACTAAATAAAAAGACATAACATCAGAAGCTGGTCCTGGAAATCAAGAACATCAAAGCCAAGGTGCGAAAGTCACTCCAAGAGCTCTGAGAAAAGTAGTCTTACTGTCTTTCTTCAACATCGAATTTTTCTAACAATTGCTGTCAAGCACTCACACCCTGGGCTCAGAATTCCCTTCTGAACCATGGGCTGAGAGAGAGGAAAGCAGAAACGCTGGCACTGTAGTCAAATTTATTGAACAGCAATTTCATACAATTACGTCTGCCTTTCAGGCCAGTATTTGACTGGCTGTGATTACTTTTTAATTATGCTAAAAAGACTACATTTATAAATCATGTCACAAGAAAATAAAAATGTCTGTTCAAAAGGGGAACATAACCTGAGAGTGCTTTGTAAACTGTTTCATGGAGAAGCCATTTCTGATAACATCCCTATATGTGTCTGATTAACAAGGTCCCACATGACCCTTTCTTGTCGAGTTCCTAATTGGCTCAAAGATTAGGAAAAGGAGAATTTGCAATCTAAAATGGAGGTGTTTTGGCAGATGATGGACTGCTATGTTAGTCATTGAAAAGATAATACTAGTAGAATCTCCATTTCTTTACTTCTGGAGGTTGACCAATATCAGAGGGCCTCTCCTTCTCTGAGACATATCTTTCTAATAAACTATCTTTGCTTTCACCTTAAAAGAAATTATAATACTAGTAGTAATGTGAGCAAGAGAATTGTCCTAAAGGTTATAAGATGTAGCTTTTTACAGGAACTTAGGTAGGAGGAAGAAGCTGCATTTTTTTAATTGATATTTTAATAAAAGTTTATAGAGAACTTGGATTTCAAATTCATTCATTTTGCTCATTTCCCTCCCTGCCCACCCTCTGCCAATTAACTTTTCTCTTTGAAAAATAATTCTTTCATTCTTGTAGTATCCCCTCTCCCACCCCGGTCTACTATACTATGCAGCTCTTATTCTGGACTATTGTCAGAGCCTGCATTTTTGCATGGGAAATAGGAAAGAATGAACTAGGGGAAAAATGTTCCAGAAAAAAAATGATGAAACTTGGGAACAAACTAAAAGCAACTGGATAATTATCCTCTGGCTTCTACACTAGACAACCTGGTGAAAAATAATTCAAAAGAGACAAGGAGAAGAAACATGTGAGTTTTAGAAGTAAGAAAAATGAGCTTTGGGTTCTAGGCAACATTCAGGGTACAGCTACAGGTAGAAGAAGGACCTTTTCTCATTTGAGTTTACAACATGTTAAACATTTTTTAAAAAAAGAAAGAGAAGGGGAAGAGTAATCAGAATGGGGGGCGGGGGCAGGGAATAAGCTTTAAAAAGCTAACTTCAAATTATCAGAAACAATACTTACAACACTTGTTAGTTAAAGCAAGGTGGTGGGGTGGTGGTCCCTTCACCAAGGCATACAAAGTAAAAACCAAAGGTAAACAATAGAGGTGTAGGGTGTTCTTACAACAACTGTAGTATGATCACACACTAGGTAAGAGAGACCTTGGAACCACTGGTTTTAGCCCTTGATGCACTTGCTACTCTTAAGGATCAAGGGAGAAAACCAGTTTGTCTTTCAAACACAGTTCTTTCTGAACCCACAAAAGGAATAAGTCTAAGAAATTAGTGCTGGATTATTCATGCATACAGATGTGGAAACAGAGGTGGCAGTGATGACTTAGCCCATCAGCTAGAGAACCAAGGCTGAGTCTTCAAAAGAAGCAGCAGTTATAGAGGGGAGCACAGGGAGAGAGTTGATTAGATGGTTTGGCTAGTCAACCCACAGTCCAAAGCCAGAAAGGGCAGGTTGGGTGTTGCAGTTTCTCATTGCTTCTGACTCATTACTCTTAATTTATAAAATTGGGAGAGAGGGGAGGTGTTTGCACACTTGCTTGCTAGACTAAGGGGAAGAATCCTCCAAAACTTTCCTAAAGACCTACAATATTTCTTTTTTTTTTAAATATTTTTTTATTGGGAAAAACATATTGGGGGTACAAGGAGGTGAGGGTTGGGGGCAGAAGGGTGAGGATGGGCCGGGATGCAGTAGCAGAGCTGCACAGTTTGGTCGGTGGGGGGAGCAGGTGAAGGAAATGATGAGGGTCCAGTGGGGACCAGATGCTACAGAGGAATGACAAGCATTTTCCAATAGTAAT